TAACAGTATTTACAAAGTCTTAACCAACATTAATGCTAATGAGTAAATATTGACAGGTACACTAATGCATATTTTGTTCATATCAGTCAAATAGCATTTTAAATTTTCCAGTGCTTTGCAAATATTGACACACCCTCAAGAGATTTTATTAGACCATTCTACAGGTCCAAAAAAGGAAGCAGAGAAGTTAGGAGATATATCCAAGAATGACAACAGAGTTAAGAGCAGGTTCAAAATTATTAGAAATAATCCAACTTCCCTCCTAATCAGAACTAGCCTCCCAAAATCATCAGTGCCTTTTTGAACAGTATCAATATTATATACTCTCATACCCTGGAAGTCCTGCACCTCTCAAGACAATATTGGGAATCCAAGACAGCTGGACATCTTTTGGAAGAGATATAGGAAGCACCTACAATATTTAAATACCATTCAGATCATAAAGTCATCACATTATAAGGCTACCCTGGGAAAACCTATTATCCGAAGCATGGCAAAGTTCGGCAGGTAAAGAAGAGATGGAACAAGAGCTCTTTGTTGCTTGTGCCATAAGGAGATTGTCAACCTGTCCCTTTATTGAAATGAATGGGAGTTTTGCTGCTGACTTCACCACAGCCAGAATTTCAGTCACAATAATTCATACTTGAGGTACCCCATTCTTTCCACCCTAAATTGCCAATTCTCAGCATCAGCACTGAATCTCCACATGTGAGAGGTGTTATTTCAGGTAAAATGTAATTCAAAATATCTTGCAGCTACCAGCACTCGGTAGCTAAAATACCCTAACAATTTCCAAGCCTACAAAGTTTTATGAACCAATTCAGGACACCTCCAATATTTATTATATATCATATATTTTTATTCAACAATAAAAAATGTAATCAGCAAGACAGCCAACATTATTCATTTCAAAGTATAGAGCGCCCTAATTTGGCTTCTTCTCTGCACTGTACCTGAGTATCCCTACATTCTGATTTCTTTAGAATATTCCAGTGCATTTGTATTATTAGGCATGATTTCCATTCCAGGGGATTGTTAGATTTTTATTCTTCCCATTTGTCCAGCTAGCTGGGAGTCTGTGCCTGTCTTGCCGGACAAGTGCTCACTCCATATCCACTCCATCTTCCAGTCTATCCACGGTTTTATTGATGATCTCTTGTTTATCCTTGGTACCCTCTCAAATCATCCCAGTATCTTCTCTTGCAGCTTCTCAGATACCTCAGACCTTGGTCTCACTTTTCATGGCATCAACCACCATGTGATCCAGGAACATCATCAGTTTCATTGACTTCAAACATCTCATTTCAGAGGTTTCAAATTTCCTCAAAGTGCTTCTCTTTGGTCACATGTGGCTCTGACGAATGCAGAATCATAATATCATGGCTTTGGTTGTCAATTAAGTCATCTGGGCATACATTGATCATAAATCACCCCACTAACCTTGTACCAGAATTCTCCCACACTTAGTAGCCTTGCTGGATGATCACTTAATGTCTCCATTATCTGCTAACAAGCCTTTAAGATACTTAAACATAACCAGACTTAACTGCAGGCCCTTGATGGTGATATTCATCTGTCTTGCTCTCATGAATCACTTACATTACTTCAGTGTTTTCTTTACTCATATAAGGCTATAGGGTGTTTGTTCCACATTTTCCTTTCTCTTGGCTACTAACACATCATCATTGGCAATAGATCAGCTTTGTACCATCTACCATGTGGATCTGCTTATTTATAAAGTCCATTACAATTATGAATAATAATGGACTAAGTGCTGTCCATAATGGAGACCACTGATGAAAGGTATCTGCACTTTTGTCATGGAGCCATCATACAAACCAAGCACCATCTTGACAAGGTTCTCCAATAACCCATAAAATCATAAGGACACAGTCTAGGCCAGTGGTCCCCAACGTGATGCCCGTGGGTGCCATGGCACCCGCTGGGACATTTATGTGCACCCGCCGAATGATCTGGGCCAGCCCTGCACCGGGCACGTGGTGCATGTGCGGTGCCAGCCCTGGGCACGTGGCGTATGGGTGGCCCCTACCTGGGGCGTGTGGCACATGCATGGTGCCACCCCTGGATGCGTGGTGTGTGGGCGGCCCCGCTCCTTGATGCGTGGCACATGAGCGGCCCCGCCCCCAGGCACCCGGCAGCCCCAAAAGGTTGGGGACTACTGGTCTAGGCACTTCAACAAATACTTTTTTCAGATCAAGGAAAGCCATTCTTGATCAACATTTCCTTCCAGCTTCTTTTCCACGAGTTACCTAGTGATGAACATGAGCAGAATTAGGACCACCCTATTGTCCTGGGTAATAACCAAATGCATACAAACATAGCCCCTGCTCGAAAGAGCTGGATCGTGAGTAGAGTCACTGATCTATAATGTAGGGCTTGTCTACATGACAAGCCTGTTTCAAAAATTACAGTGTACAAGCACATTAACAAAAGGTTAATGCACATTAGCAGGGTCCATACAGAAAATTAATCATAGCAGGCTAGTGTGTAGTAGAGTCAGACCCAGCTTGTTGCAAATTAAATATTTATGTGGCAAGTCCTTAGGGATGGGCTGACAACCCAAATTCAAATCTGCATTTCAAACAAACATACCCAAACATGTGATGTTTAGACCCAAATTTTTGGCTCCTGTAATGGTGTCTTAGATTCATATTTCTATCTCTACCAGAATTGAGGTTTTGGGCGCTTCATTAGTGAAATTATCTGCACCCTGCATTTATCCTAATTCCATTAAAGGCTTGACATTTGCTCTCTTTAAATCACTGCTACTAATAATACAAGTAAAGGATCATGGTTTCCCTCTAAATTTGATCTAATATTTATTTATCTATTGGCTTTTTCTTTAATCAGGTTTTTCTTTTTAGAGTTATGCATCCCTTCTCAAAAAGAAATAAGGACCATCAAAATTTCCCTGTTTGGGGCAGCAGAACTATCTCGACCAGAAAATGTAGAAAAGGAAGAAGACAGCATTAACTTAAAGAGGGACATCTAAAAAAAAATTAAACATCCATCAAAAACAATTTTTTGTCACCCTGTCCTAAACAGAGTACTTGAATAGGAATCTGGTAGTACTGCAGAAGAGACCACTTCCAAGAAGCCATGACATACTTTTCATAGAGTCTTGTTTATGAAAGTCCAGAATTATGTAGCCAGATCTTCAGCTACAAGTATGCTAGTTTTCACCTGTTAGGAATCTGTCCCATAGATTTCAGTCAGTATTACGACAATACCTGTGCACTCAAGCTTATATAGAAGTACTTTTAACTGAGAGTTTTTGTACTTTGACTCAAGAAGCTCCCATCAACTTGGGACAACAAAATTGCACTCTGATTCTTTTAAGTCTTCCTTTTTATGCTCATGATTATCAATACTTGTTTGGATAGGGAAGATCCTATCAAAAGGAAAGCTGAGACATCAAATTCAAGAGAATTATAATGAACAATAAACCCTATCAAAAAGAAAGAGGAAGGCACCGAGAAGTTGAACATAGCCAATTAGTAGTTCATCTTACATTACTAACAAAACCTCAAGGCTGAGAGACCAAATGATAAGAGAAAAGGTAAGATATAAACATGGCATTAAGTGTGACTCTGCTAACCTTAGAAGTGACCACTAGTAATGAGTTATATTCATTACATTATTATTCAGTTTACAGTAGTACATGGTAAGTAAATACCATCTGCCTTGCTTGTTGGAAATAATAAATTGAAATGTAAAAATGTGGCAACTGCTTTTGGGATTGAGACAAAAACAAATGTTATTCTCCTAATGGATTTTCTCTCATACCATTTTACACCCAATGAAACATTTTTACTGACTCCTTGATTTTATATATATATTTATAAATATATAAATTATATACATTTAAATATGTAATCATATATTTAATCAATACGTTTAAAAAGCTAGGTATAATGCCACAGAACATTAACATTATCTATTCTCTAAGAACTTATATTAGAATTTTTTAATAATTATCATGTTTACAAATACTGTCACTTTCTCACTAAGGTCACATCTATGAGTTATCTTTCAATCAAAGCTGTCATCTTACTGACACTTCATAACATGAGCCCAGCCTGATTATGAAGATTAGATTCAGAAAATTCAGGTCCCCTTTGAATTTATGAAAAAGTTGTAAGTCAAATTTATAAATGTTTGGTTAATTAAGAAAAAATATTTTGCTGCATTCAAATGGACATTGGAGTTCCAAAATTGTGTGCTGCATCATCAGACTCACTTTGGATACTTCTTATTTTATTGCTAATTATGCACTGTAGAGATATTTATAAATATAGCCAAGTCACTGTCTGGAAACAGACAGACTTGGTAAAGTGTCTGGCACTGCAGTAGGTTACCTCAAGTGTAGAACATTTTTATTTCATTTGAAACCCACAACACAGAATATATTTTAGAAACATTTGCACAAGCTTGTCTGCATTTTACAAGATCTTCATTCCACTGAAAGGTAACGGCACACTATAAAAAAGATTAAACATTTATATTTTCTGTTAAGTTATCGTACAAGTGATATGATCTCACAGTTAGTGTTACTGGATCCCTCATCTGCTGAAAGTAATGTTGAGCAGGACTAACATCAGAGAGGAAGTGGAGGGGATGCCTATTTTTCTATGCAAATTGCTTTAATTATAAAAATTAGTCACTGGGGATTATTTTCTCTCTTCTGTTTTGGTAAGAGAGGTATTCTCCCTCAGAGGTAGAACACCTCATTTTATATGGATCCAACACAGACCCTACCCATATAAACATGTTAAATTGCCTCCATCCAAGCACAGTAATATATTATCCTACTTGAGTCTTCAGATCTTCTGGACATCAAAATGCACCCACCATGACATTTGTAAGAAACCTGTGACCATCTAGAACTTCACGGATGTCACTCTGATGCATACCAAGTTACCTGGGACTCTAGTGTGGCACAATAGACTGAATTCCACCCTTGTGATGCAGAAGCACAAGCCCCTGTTTGCCGCCAGCCATAGCGAGTCTATGAAATACAAACATACAGTTCTAATTACATCAAGCAGAGGATAAGGGGAGGCAGCTTGAGTTCATTACAATGAAAGATAAGCAATTGCACGGGTATGTTTATATTACATTTCATATTGATGCCTTGATCTCTCGCTTGACCACTCTGATTCTAGCTCTGCTTCCAAATTACCTCAGTTGTGCTGATCTTCTTCATGGATGAAACAGTGAGGAAAGGAATTTGGATGAAGAGAAGAGGAGAAGAATCTGTGTCAGAGATTCTATCTGTGGGGCATCAGTTCACTAACCCCAATGAGGACTGAGCACAATTTCACATGGGATTGGGCCTAACAAGAAACTAGAATCTGTATTACTTCACCTACTCAAAATAGGAATGTTTGGATTAAGGCCCCCAGACCACAATATAACCTTACTATTTTGGTTCCAGGTAGAACTCAAACCCAGGTCACAGTCTATTTTCTATTTCATATATGGCTAAAATCTAGAGATAATAGTCACATTTGCTGAATGAGGAACGTTGTTTTCCTCCTCCCAATCACAATACTAGGCTGGTGTCAGTGAGGTAGAGATAAGCTGTGTAGGGGACATGCAAGCAGACCCAAGGGAAACTGAGGAAATATATCTAGTTGTCCTTTGTCTTCAGTTGTTTTCTCTAGGGATTCAGCAGCAGCAGAATCAATGAAGCTGTTCAGCCTCTACTACTTTCTAACTGGAATGGATACAGAAAGAAAAGGAAATTAGTAGCTTCCTTATCCAGGCTTGCCAAATCCTTTAAAGCTCATAGAGGCACCACATCAACAAAAATGTTTTGAACTGGGACTCTTGCTGTTGACTTTCCCGGGGAAGCTGGAAAATGTCTATTTGTACCTTAGGGGAGGAAGTTACAACAAAAACTTGGTCTTCATGGCTTTCAGAGAGCTATAAGTTCTTTCCCTCTTTTTTTTAAAGATGAATTGTGAAAATACAGAGAGTATTATGAGTTGAAGAGTTCATGGCTTTCAATTTAAAATAACAGCAAACTAACCCTTGTTTCTCTGCTATACTCTCTTCTCTACCTATACCAACACCACAACCACTGATCAAGATGATGAGCCTGCAGTTGAAGTTTGTTCACAGGCTCTGATCAGACAATTAATACAATGTTGCTCTAAACAGTGCCAGGTGGTTGGCCTGGACAAGAGGGCATGATTTTGTTCTCAGTTAAATTAGGATAAATTGGAAATTAATTGTACTACTGATTTGGTTACTCCAGATTTATATTGCTATAAAAGAGAGTGGAATTTTGCCCAGTGAGGGGAGCAACACAGCATGGCATAGACTACTTGGGTCTCATTCAGCCTGTGGCTACGTGTATTAATGCCCACTGACCTCAATGGACATTGGTGTGTGTGATCAACAGCAAAATCTGTAATTCAGCCATCGCTTTCATCCATATTATTCAACTGAAAAAAATTAGTTCCGGATTGTATTTGTGACTGACAGGACAACTCCCTGTAGTATCCTTGGGAGGCCATTTTGTATGACGTCTAAGACTACTTTATGGAGCACTAGAAAATCTGCTGTGTGCTGCACAGGACCTTAACTCAATAAATTTTTGATATTTGGAAAATAAAAGAAAAATATCCATGCTTCAGTTAAATCATTGCGCTGGGAATGACAGGTTCAGTATGCAGACTCCCCAGGGAGCAGAGGACTAATCCAGCCCTCTCTTACCACTGCATCTTGGGGCCAGGTAACAAGTGCCTCTGCATGGCCACTACATCTCCAATGGGCACAGCTGGGGGAGGAGTACCTATCCCCCAGCTGGGGCAGGTCCAGGTTAGTCAGCCCCCTGTGCTTAAACCAAGTCTCCTGATCCAGCAACAGACTGGTTGCCCAGATCCTTGCAGAAGGGTTAGAAAAACTTTGACCTAATGACATTCACTGTTTAAGCCCCTGGTGAGTGGCTAACCACATGTTCTGGACCCCAGTAAGAACTCTGAGAGAAATCCATGATACAGTGGAGAGGTGATGGCTGAAAGAAGGAACCCTTAGGAAGGAACCTTTGAGGAAGACAGGGAGGAAGAGCTCAAAGGTGCAGCTAACATAGAAACTGTGGCAGTATTACTTGAATATTAAGCAGAAACACTTGTGTTATACAAGTCAGTTAATAAGAGCAGATGTTGTGGGAAGGGAAAAGGAAGAGAAGTTTAGCTGTTTACAAGAATTAAAAACTGCCTGTCTCTTAAGCAGGCTCAGTAGCTTCTCTCTCTTTCTCTGTCTCCCCACTCCCTCTCCATTTCCCTCTCCCTCTGTCAAGACAGACACTAAAATTCTGTCTTGTTTACCCAGGCTAAATACCTGATCTGCAAGCTTCTGTCACCCTGTAAAATATAAAGAGGAATAAGCAGAACACTAACATTTCAGTTTTCTCCCCAAACCTTTTCCAACCAGTAATTTAATATCTTAAATTCTTGCCTCACTATAGCATTCTGCACATTCATTGACATCAAAGTTAATATTGAATGCCTTCCAGTAATAAAGAAAAATTACAGCAAGGTATTTATATTTTTTTCATTTCTTCTGAGCTGTGAGTCATGCTTTTATTTTAAGACAAGAATTAGTTCATGGATGGTTAACTCATTGCATACCTCAATGAGAAAGAAGATATAATCTGAGTCTGATTTTTTGTTCTGTGTTTTTGCTGCCAAAAAGGGTAGGGAGCCTGCTTTCCTGCAATTTCATGATGATTAAATTCTGCATGAATCTGAGGCTCTTAATCAAGGGAATTACCCTACATTCCCTTAGGGATTTATTTCACAGAGGAATATGTCTGCACTTTCTCCCTTAAAAAAAACAGCCAAGAACAGAATGGAGGAATGTTGTCACCGGTATTATTTTCCAGAATTCTCTGCTTTTATGAATTATTTTCACTCTCAACAGAAAATGCATTGACACATGTAAAAAAGGTACAAGCTGGTACCCCTATTCCTTTTTTAATTTCTGAAAACACACATTTCTTGCTGAAATGGTTGAGTTGAGTATGTGTAATATATATAGTTTGCTTCAGAAGTGAGAGCTTCTATTTCCCCTGACTTTCTCTGTGACAGAGTGCACAATCAAGTTCAAGCTGTGGGCAAAGCAGGAGATGTGCACAATGCTTTTTCTCTGTGCTGGAGCCATTATCAGCAATAATAAAACCACCAGACAGTCCCAGCATTATAATCCAACATTGTATCTCTCGGTTAAACCCATCCAGGAATTTGTATTAGGTATGATCCACAGGGAAGTACTATATTCAAAAGGAAGGCCGTTTGGAAGACTTTTCATCTGCATCCAGTGCAAAGCAAAAGAAACCCAATGTGCCGCTAATAGCATATTCAACCCCTTCATCTGATTCAGAGAGAAATCTGGCAGATAGTTTAGCCCAGCTGTCTATGGTCAGATGCATTACACTTACCAAATGTATTTCTAAAGACATCTGCAACCTGAGACAAATGAGGGTGAATTCAAAGATTTCCTGCCTCAAGGAGATAATTTTTTTTTAAATGAATTGATTTATCAGCTGTGGAACAGGCAAAAAGTTAGGGCCACATACCTGTTATGAGTGCTACTCCAGGTTCTATTCACACATCCACAGTGATACCGTTTGCCATACAGAAGACAGGCAGAATGGTGTGCTGTAGCTGGAAAGACTGGGCTGAACCAACTGGGCTACGCAAGCATGAAAAACCATCAGTAACAGCTAGAAAAAGGCAATGGAGAATTTAGCCACTGCCTAGAGATGGTACCCAGGCATCGTTTCAGGGATCTAGGGAGAATGGAAGGAAGTCCAGTGCTTTCATTCCATTGCAGGTAAAATATATTGGGAAGACTGTTTTGGCTTGGACTCTTTCAGACCTTGAAAGTAATGCATTTCTATTTCCGGTTGTAGGGCTGAAACCAGAAATTGAGGACAAAGCCAGAGGACAAACTCAAACTGCATCTTCAATCAATGCTGGCCAAAATACCCCATCCATACTTGACATATGTTTTTAAAAATGGGAGAACTTCAGAATATTTTCAATAACCCTTGCCAAAAAGATCTGAGATTAGAAAAAAAAAAAAAAAAAAAAAAAAGCCTTACGCAAAGATTGACGCTGCCTTCCACCTTTTCCCATTGGCTTCCTGGTCAACGGAAGACAAAACAGTGTCTTCTTCGATGTACCTCCAAGCTGCTCTTTTCAGTGGGCCAGGGTGTCTATTTTCAGTAATATAAATCAAGATGTAGGCTGAGAATGAAGGTAAGAGGCTGTTCATTTGCACGCAAAAGTTAATAGACACACATATTTAATCCCAATTAAATATAGTGATATTTAGGCCCCTGAAGAAGAGAGGTACAGGCTTCTGCACCCTTCACAGACTTTGTCCCACAGAAACACAGATTTGTGGAACGGTTTACCAACAAGGATGAATGTATCCAATATAGAGAGAATGACTTATAACAAATTGGATTAGCAAAAAAAGAATGTAGTTGTCTTTAAAAAAATCCCTTTCTCCGCTATTTTTAAGGGATCCGGAGCATATTTTTGGAAATTAAAACTGGCTTCAGATAAGTCATGCTTGATAAGGACTACTGACCCCCTAAGATGGAGTTGGTAAAGATGAAGACTTTAACTCCTAAAAAAAGCTTTTAATCTGACTAAACCATCTAACACAACATTTACCTCAGTGAGCTCAGCTACCACAAACAAATGGTACACTATTACAGAGTACAGCATTCATCTAACTATTCCAAACATCAACAAAGGCATTTTTCTCATGGCTTGGGACGGTACCCAAATTAGGAATATCTACAAGGAAATCAATACTATTAAACTGACTCAAAACTGGTGGGAGTTCAAAAGTGGGGTCACATTTTCTTCACCATGGTAATTCATATCCAACAGGTAATACATATACAGGTAGACTTTGAACCTTGGACTTCACATATGGGCTGAAAGAAAAATTAAAACACTTAAAGGCTCACACGGACAGAATGACTTAACATGTCAGGTCATGGACACTTCATGTGCTCCAGAAATTTGGGGGCTAGATCAGCCAATATCAGTTTAGATAGCTCTAGTGATGCCAATGGAAGTTTACAGAGTTGAGGATTTGTCTCCTCATCTCAAAAAGTGGAGGAAGATTTGCAGAGACATAACCCTGCAGGCAGTATTAAGGGGAAATATTTTTTCCAGTTCTGGAAGAGAAGGGTGGTTAAGGCGCACTAGAAAATGGCTTTTGCTGGGGGGAAAAATGGGAGGAGACACAAACCAAAAAACATTACATAATTCCAAGCAGTTGGCTAGCCATTTTTGTATTAACTTTGTCAATTTAAAATGTAACACTTCAATTTAGTCATTTGGATGTCTGTGACTCTGGCTCACTATTCACTTGTTCCCAGGCAACTATCATGTCACAGCTTCACATGCATTTTAATGTTCAGCTGCCTGTATTTTAATGTATTTTTAAGCTTGCCAGAGTCAAGACCATAAACAGCCTAGTTTCTCCACTGCTATCAGATACTCCTTGGACATTTGCTGCAGATGCAAAGATTCCGAGTTAGCAATCATTCCATCAGTATGATGATGAAAAGGCAAGGATGACTCCACAGCAGAGAAAATCAGCAATCAGATAATGTAACATGTAAAAAGTGGCAATTATAATTTACTCATTGAGGAAATCAAAATAAAGTACAGCACAAGTTCCATGTGATTTCGATGGTCAATTGAAGTGATTTCCAGGTACCACCTTTGTTTCCCCACCCTCCTCTCAAAGGTTTTTTTTAAACTAATCCTATACTGATGATTAGTTTAAAGGCACTACGAATAGAGGTGAACAATTAAGGCTACAGAAAAAATCCCATCTCTATTATCTTTGAAAAGGAGCAAAGACTGAAATTCCTCCCTTCTGAATCACTTTTTACCTCAGCTCAATCCCGTATTTTTGAAAATCTGTTTTATTCTGACAATGGACTCTGAGGTCATACCTTTGACTTTGGCTTCATTGTTGCATCAAGGAGATAGGATGCCTGGGCAAAAAGCCTTGTTTAAAAAGCAATTCTCATTTAAAATGATAATTAGCAAAACTAAATGTGTGAAAGAAGTTTTAAAACCGAGGCTGTGTACCACCCTCTTTTTCTTCCTTCTGTGCTTTGATTCCTTGCATGGTGCTTTATTCTGTGCTGGTTATCTTTTGTTTGTTTGTTTGTTTGTTTTATAATCCTAATGAGCATTTTGAAGACACAAAAAGAACATGAAAGGTAGCGATGGTTTATATAAAGGTATAGTGGGGGCAGGTGCCTACTCCAGCAAGGGAGGGGTTAAAAGCAAGCCAGAGAGCTTTCACAAACCCCCTCCACTCAGGGGGGAAGCTCACAGGGAGCCAAGGAAAAGGCGGTTTGCTGGCGCAGCCCTCTTTTAAGAAGCTGCTCGGCAGAGCTGAGGGCAGTTGGGTCCTGGCCAGCAGAGTACAGGCTGCCAGGGAAGGCAGAACACCTTGGGCAGAGCAGTGCTGGGCAGGCTCAAGAGAGCTGGTGAGAACTCCAGCCTGATACTGGCCAGGCCAAGGCCTTGATACAGGAGCCAAGAAAGTTTAAAGGTCATGGGGAAGTGGTGCAGGAATGAGAGTGGACAAAGGGAGAAATGGAAGGCAGGAGATGGCTGCTGCCAGAGGGTCCCTGGGTTGGGGCCCAGGGTAGAGGGTGGGCCTGAGTCCCCCATTCCTCTAGCAAACTGAACTATGGCCTATACCCAAGGGTGGAGTTTCAGGAGGGCAAGGGGTCAGCAGCCAGGATGTGTCTTGCTTTTCATACCGTTACCTGGACTACCAGGGAGTGAGGGGAAAGTACTTGCATTGTGTGATTTACTCCTCTGCCTCCTCCCTTCACCATCCAGGAGTGAGCGACAGGCACGGATGCAAGTAGCTTCCCCTCATTCCCTGATAGTCCAGGGAATGGTGAGAAAAGCAAACCACGTCCTGGTATGCATGGCTGCTGCCCTCCCAAAACTTTGCCCTTGCCTATACCAACTGCAGCTTGCTCCTGAGGCAAGAGGCTAGACCGGGGGTTGGCAAATTCTGGCCTACAGGCCGAAGACGGTCTACTAGAGTATGGTCCTGGCAGGCCCTCACCGCTATGTTTACCTGAGCCACTGGAGGTATTGGAGGATTGCAGCTCTCATTGGCCGTGGATCACCATTCACCACCAATGGGAGTGACAGAAAGTGGCATGGATCAGGACACTGCTTTCCGCCACCCCCATTGGCTGCAAATGGCAAGCCGCGGCCAAAGAGAGCTGTGATCGCCCATTACCTATGGAGCCACAGGTAAACATAGTGTCTGTGGCCTTCCAGAGACTAACCCTTGTGGGCTGTCACTTTTTTACTGCCCTCCCATGGGCTAGATTTTGGGGATGCAGTTGGCCATTGTGGCAGGTGTGAGATTGAGGAGCAAGAACAGAGGGCGGTGTTCTGAAGAGGACACCGCACTCCAGGGAGTGATGTGGGTCCATGGAGATGGTGGAGACAGCAGAGAGCTGAGTCACAACAGGTGAAACACTAGCCAGAAGGCAGTGCACTCCAATGGTCAGAGCTGATTCCCAGTATGACCAGGCACTTCAATGGTGGGTCAACACCATTATAGTTTAAAAAACTGTTTTTAACCTGACATGCAAGTTCATCTTTTAACAAGGTATAAGCCCAAGGAAAGTTGGTAATGGGCTTAAAGTTTCTTGTTTCCTTAAACAAAGTGCTATAATGCTGGGACACTTATGTGATTTTCTCAGGCAAACTCTTACATCATATTTTATGCATTTTTACTGTTGAATGTTATTGTATTCACAAACAGATTTGGTTTATCAGCTCTGGAGATTTTGAGGCTAGAGTTTCTTTAAAGGAATGTTTTTCTTCCTGTGCACCATGGACTTGATATTTTTTCAGGCACTCAGATTAGGCAGCACCTGCATTTTAAGTTAACAGGAACTGTTTTGAATATCAGGCTGATTTACAACTGACATCAGCTGCATGGCTGAAGAGTGAAATCAGGGTATGCATGGTGAAGTGTACCTAACTAGTCAAGTGATTTCAAAATTTGGTTTAACGGCCAGGGTTTGTTAGTCTCCCCAGCAGTCTGCAACAATTTGACTTCTGGCCACATCTTTACCAAATGGGTCTAAACTCTAGCACTGTCTTACTTCACTCTTTTTTTTTCCACGTGTGTGTTAATGATTTTTAATGAGATATATTTCATTACAGGTGGGTTAGTGTAGATGCCCAAAATGGATTGTCACAAATGAATGTTTGTTTTAATGGATTTTAATAAATATTTTTACTTGTTTGCATCCTGACAAAAGGCATCTTAAAAGGACCAGTTCCTGTTCCCTACTCTTTTGCCCCATAGGTACCCCTAAAAAGCATAGGAATCAGCCTTCAATTAACAATATTTTTTAAACTAATTCTAAATAGTGCATCTACCTAAGCAGCAACTATGTAAAATGTCACTTTCAAGAAACACAAATATTTCAGTTCTCTGGATCAATCTATACTCTTATAGGAGTCCCAGTCCCTTAAGAAGTTCGAGAGCCACATGGAAATGCTCATGGGTGCAGCCAGTGAGAAAGGGGAACAGAGCTAGCAAAGGAGAGAAAAGAAGGAATGCTCATTTTCCTTTTAGCAGTGGAAGGGGAGCTGCAATCCCACCAGGCTACCGTTTACTTATATCCCTGCTGACAGCTAAATGCAGCTCACTGAAGCAGGAGTTTTGTATTGAACCTCAGTGGGAGCACAGTTATTTGGCGTGAAATGTTTCTGTCCTGTTACATGCATAAAAGCGCTATGGAACATGTTTTGTGTGACTGCTTGAAATCCTGGAACCTCTGAAGAGTGTTAGCCCCAGTTCACTCCAGGATGTAAATTGGCAGAAGCCAACCTAGGGCTGACACAAGGTAATTTTTGCCAGAGTGATTGAGGCATCCTCCATTCTTCTGAAGGACAAGTGCAGCCTGCACAGCCCCAAGAGTGGGTGGTATTGGCCCAGGAGCCATCATCAGGGTGGCTGGAATAGTGGTACCGATTTAGTGCATGCCTATCATAGCTCCCACCACCTGAGCACTTTGTAAATGTAGAGCTGCTTTCTCTCCTGGGCACCCTAGTACCGATGGTAACGTAAAGACCACTTATTCATCAGAGTCAAATTCTTCTTAGTGCAGCAGTCTTCGGTGTTTACTGCTGAAGGTAGAATTTGTTTACAGAGCTACTTAAAAACTTAACGTTCATTATCTCTGAGAAAAAAATTAAACTGTCCCCTAAACTGTCTCCTTCCGGATATACCCAAGAGGAGACAGAGAAAGCAGCAGAGAGCTTAACATGTGAAAGGAAATGGAGTACATTTTGAGTTGTGTCAGCCAGTTTCTTTGTAACCTTATTCTCCCCAAGCTTATAACTGGTACGTTTTGTCACTTGGCTCTATACGACATGCTGGCTCACCTTCTGCTTGTTCCCAGGCAACCAACAAGGAGCTGTTCCCATGATTAGCAGATCTCTTGCTTTTTAAAGGTTTTGTTGTTTTAACTAAGAAATAGCTGCAATCCTGAGAACATCTTGTTTTCTGTCAGGTACGGCATCTCTTGGAGTTCTGCTGGCAGACATGTTTCGCATGCAAACACTCAAATCTGGCATCATTTTTAGACAAATTCAGTAAGAAAAAACAATTTTGTGGCAGAACGTCTGGGCTCTGATACTTCCATGTATTTATCTGCCAAAATATGTTAGAATTATAATCAGAGTTATAAAGAAAAATCAAGACAGCATTTGATATGCTATTAATGACCATCAGCAACCAGGAAAAAATAACATCTCTGCTTACCACAGGTATGATACTGAATCAACATTTGAAGAAGAAAGAAGTTCAATGGAGAAAGGCATTAAGATTAGAAGATAGCATACTCTGTAAACATCTATCCTCAGCTCACAAAGTGGGAAAATAATGAGTTTTTACACTCAGTTTTCCTAGTTAACAGAAGTTCTTTTTCAAAGCAAAACACTCAGGAATTTCATCAAGCAAAGCCATGACAGTTTTCATCAGTCCACAGGTATGAAATCATACATGCAAATCATATGGGAATTACTGGTTTAGAGAATGGCTTAGTGACACACCAAAGACTAAAACTGATCTTCTTGCTACAGTTATAAGACTATACTCGCCTCTGAATCATATTTCATAAGACAGTATTTTTCTACATGTTTACAGTTAAATGACTGCACAAAAATGAAGAATAAAGGGTAAAATAAAAGTGTGAAAAGAGTATATTATATTATACATTTGAGGATTACTATAGATCTTATACTATGATTGGAACATTTTCTTCTTTCCATGCACAGAATATACATGTCTTTGGGTAAATTAGTCAGAGTTTGTATGCCATCAGATTATTATTAATCTAGGAATATACCCATTAATATTTTGGGCCATTAATTAAGATATTGAATAATATTACACACATTAACTAGTGTGTAATTATGAATACTGAACTCAGAGACATGTGCAGGCATTTAAATTCCACCACTTTTGGAGGGCCACATTCTGTGTCCCTACCACTGCACCAGGTCCAAAAGTGCTTCCTCCAACCACGAGGGCCTCAGGGTTAAGGGAGTTCTCTGCCCCTCTCTCCCAATTATTGGGGCATGTGCCCTGCTTGTCCCCCATTTCAACTGAACAAGTAAGTTGAGAACAGAAGTCATTGCAATCGTTAATTTTTTATCCCTAAATACTTGGTGCATTCATTTTCCATTAATTGCATTGCTGAATAGCATCTAATTTATAATGAGATATAAAAGTATGGTAAAAAGTATCACACGTACTATTTATTACCATCTTGTACAGGTTATTCACAACAAAAGTTACAGCATATTCAAGGTTCAATAATAAAAAAGGCTGTAAAGATTCAAAATCTATATATATTAGAATGTGTCTGTGTCTGTCTGTCTGTGAGTTTGTTTGTTCAAGAACTCCTCCTACAGGGTAAGAGCTAGAACCACCAAATTTGACAGACAGCATCCTCTCCTCCTAACTTAAAGCAAGGTCAGGGGTTGGTTGTGCCAGGACAACCAAGAGCCCCAGGGAAAGGACTGTTTTCCATCACATGCAAAGGCAGGGGCTGCTGTTCAGATAGACGTAATATGAAAGTGGCCACTGAGGGCAGCGAGCCCACAGGAGAGAGCTATCCTGAAGAGTGTCCACTGGGAGCAGCCGTGCCACCAAGGGAGTAGCCAGTAGCGATGGTGCTCTACCATCTTGCCTACATGCACACCAAGAAAGTAGTCCCTGACCCCAAACCTTCCCTGGTCCAGCCCTTGGCTGCAAAGCCAGAGGGGGGAGGAAAAAAGCCCTTGGTAGCTGGTGCAGGCTGGAGGGAGAGAAAAGGCCTATGCTGGTTGGGACCCCCACCCTGAGCCCCTCTTCACACCCCCACCTTCATGCATAAACCCCCTCACACACTTGCCCAAGGCCCTTTCCTGACTCTTGTGCCCACCCCCCTACCCACACACACAGTGCCAGCTCCTTACCTGGAAAGTTCTGAGCAACACCAGGTACTCTGCTAGTAATATATATGTTATGGTCATCTACAGTACTGTAGAATAGAAATGCCATTTTCCCTAGCAAAATACAGGAAAAAGCATAACGGGCAAATTAAATAGTATGTTAGATTATAATCCCCAAAATTAAAGGCAAAATTTTTAGAAGTAGAATTAAGGTGAGAGAAACAATGCACCCATGTTACTCTGAAGGAATCTAACGTAACCGCACAGCAGTTGGGTCCAATTCACCATTGTGCAATTCCTATTTTGCAGTACAAATAGTCTGACTCCAATGTAATAGAGTATTTTTGCCACAGTTATCAGCCAGCCCTTGTAAAGCAGCAAGCCACAGCAATAATCAGAAATGTATCCAAGCAAATGTCCATGATACAAGGTTTTCTCTGCAGACTTTGTTGTCACTCCTTCCTGTGGTGAAAACTGGAACTCAACAATAGAATCCCTGCCTCTCAGGCTGGCCTTGCCCTATTACCTGAATCCTGTGGGAAGGCAGGCAGAGCTGCTGGACATGCTGGCTGACAGCCATCAGCATATGGAGAAGCTAGTTAGCATTCCCTCAGCCATCCCAGGCTGAAAAAGATGTGGTACTAACCTAACACCTTTGAAGCCACCTCTCCAATGTAGGAACATGGGGTGAAGATGCTACCTGTGGTGGCTTCTATGGGTCTGGAAATGACACTGAAGATCTGGGTATCTTCCTAGGAAAGAAATGACACCAGAAACCACCCAACCCTATAGGACTTCTTGAATCGGTGAGGGTGGGGGCCCATTAAATCATGGACATGTAGTTGTGGACAATATAATGGCAGTGAAGGGACAAGATGTAAAATGGTGGCAGGGAGTAGGAACAGGAAGACAGAACAAAATTATTTGGAGTAGAGAGCATCAAACCCTAAATTAATTGGTCCTAGAATATTGGGAGGAGTAATAATTGATTAGTTTGGGAAAGGAGAAGCCAGAAACAAATGGAGTTTAGTGGGACTCTCTGAATTAAGTGATGGGGAGCTACTGCTTCTCCCATCTATAAAACAAGAGTGTGAGGCATTCCTCACTTTTGGCCCTCACAACCTATTTTTTCTGCATTTCTCTTAATTTTTATGCAATTAAGTGAAAATGAGAAATTGTACTGGGTTTTGCGTAGAGGATGGTGATAGTATTTAACATGTGCACAAGGGCTACTGTAACAGTTCTGTGGAGTTTCATGTAAGAGAAAGAAAGTTTCTGGTATGGTTAAGAGAAAAAATGAGGCTGGGAGAGGAACTGAAGAAGTGAAAGATGAGAAAGATGGACTGTCTATCCTGCTGAGGGTCTATGGAGGAAATAGAAGTCTATCAATCTGAACCTCATGTTTTTTTGGCAGGTGGGAAAAGGACTGACATTTTGAGAGATGAAAGTCAAATCTCTTCTGCATTGCTCATACAGTCTTGTTTTCCTACTGATGCTGTTACCAATCTTTGCAAGGTGTGGACTGAAGCACTATATATGGCTTCCATTTTCTTGAGTTATGTCTCTTTTAAATTTTCACATGAGCTGCTCTCAAGGTCACATATCTGCTTTGACTTGTGGTTTGTGAATTTTGTTCCCTTTAGAAAGATTTGTGTTTCTTGGACAATGTCTAGCCAATGTACACATGTTAAGGCCCAAAATGTAAAACAATTCTGCAGTAGTAGTACATGAGGAGCGTCTCATGTGAAGCTTTGTTATGCATTATTTATGTGAATGAAAGCAACTAAATGAGTGGCAATAAGAAACATCAAATGTCTAAAGTTCTAACAAACTAAGAAACAAAAGGAATCCAAATATATTTCACAATACCCTGAACTTTGTTTTTGCTATTGGAACTTCTCATTTGTTTAGACAGATGGGCTCAAACCTTTTAGAGATTCAGTTTTACATTCTTTGCACCCACAAAAGATTTTCATTGAACTTTAGATGAGCTTTCTATAAACAGTAACTGTTGGGTAAGAATTATTTACAAATACATCTACAGGCCCAGTAGTTCCTAGTCTAAGCTCATAAAGTAAGGGGCTGCCTAATTCCTAGCCCAGAGACTGCTATCACAGAATGGGCTGCACATTACATAAGAGCTGGTTCAGGCTTACAACCTTTCAGAAGTACTCAGAGTAGAATAATTTCATATATAGTGAAATAAAATATATGTATCAGTGTTCACCAAATGTAAATTACAGTTGCCATGGTGCTTGTAATTTTAGAGTTTGTCAATTATTTCATTATCTCTGAAATACCGTCCAAATTTATAAACATTCATGTTCTGCATTGTCTGGCTTTAGTTTTCCAATCACATCTACATTACTATCACAAAAGTGGGATATCTGAGCTTTTGGAGATGGTTTGTCTGCAAACATGGCAGGTGTGCATCTTCTGTTGTTGCCAAATGAGTACATCCAAAACTGAATAGGTACACTGATGTTTACATTAACACCTATATAAACCGATCAGTAACATTTTACTCAGAATAATGGAATGAGGAAGGCTAGCCTTGAGCATGCCTTGATGGCCTAGTCAAAAAGACAAGTTGGCAAACTGTCTCATTTTGGGACTGAAACACAGAAATGTTGCTATTTTTATCTGGAATTAAGCTTTCAAACTGACATTGTTAAGCACTGGACACTGCTTTGTTTACACTGCTGGAAACACAGAAGCTGGTTTGAGGAGAGGCCAAATGTGGTCAAGGGACCAAAATACCACAGCACAAACTTAACTTGCCTCCATTATATCTGAGAAGAGAGAGGTCAAATTATATCTCAGACTGGGGCAGAGGCCAAGAACCAGAAGTAGGCAAGAGTGGGTTAGTTTAAAGGTTAATTAATTCCTATAATGCATGGGTTCCCAAACTGGGGTGCACACCCCACCTGAAGAACATGAAGAAATTCCAGGAGGGGGCACAAGGTGACCCAGATATTACCCTCCCCCCTCCCCGAGGAAAGAGCCCAGTCCGTCCGACCGTTCGCTCTGGCTGGCTGGGGCAGACTTCAAAATGGCCACCTTACAAGGGCAATGCCTGCTCTGCTCTTAAAAGGCCAATTTTTTTGGGAGGGGGGAGGCTTGCTCAATAAGTGCTGCTATTTGGGGGGGCAATGAGGGTTTCTCAAAAATCAAAAAGGGGGCGTGATGCTGAAAAATTTGGGAACCACTGTGTATAATGAAAGATGGGCGCATTGGTGTAATTGGATTTCTAGTTTTCACCTACAGGGAAAAAAACATTAGAAGCTTGCATTAGTATTTAGTAGTTATGGCATGATTATCTGAGTAAATACTTACAGCTCCAAACGGCATTAGCCTGGGCTTGACCTGTAAGCAGAACCTTTTTTTTTCTAAAAACCTTAAACATTTTATTTCATATGCAACCAGACTTGCTTTACATTTGGAAAGAGAATTTATAGCTTATTTGAATATGCATGGCCATATTTACAAGGTATGGTGTTGCCAGAAACTCTGTTTTAAAGGCTTTTCACCCTTGTTAGTTATATGTCAAAAAATAGATAGTAAATAAAACTGTAATTCTGTGCTTAGTGAGAAGGAAAAGTATATATACTCTTCATAAATTTGATAGTAACGATCTAAATTTACTTTAAAGGAACATTACAACATGATAGAATAGCTAATAATATACAGAAGTGCAACACTTAAATACTCTGTGGGGTCTCTCATCTTCAT